TGTCAGTTTCTGCTTTACAACAAAGTGAATCAGTTATACATATACATATGTCCCCATATCTCTTCCCTCTTGCGTCTCCCTCCCTCCCACCCTCCCTATTCCACCCCTCTAGGTGGTCACAAAGCCCCGAGCTGATCTCCCTGTGCTATGCAGCTGCTTCCCACTAGCTATCTATTTTACGTTTGGTAGTGTATATATGTCCCTGACTCTCTCTCACTTTGTCCCAGCTTACCCTTCCCCCTCCCCATATCCTCAAGTCCATTCTCTAGTAGGTCTGCATCTTTATTCCTGTCTTGTCCCTAGGTTCTTCTGACCATTCTCTCTCTTTTTTTTTTTAGATTCCATATATATGTGCTAGCATACGGTATTTGTTTTTCTCTTTCTGACTTACTTCACTCTGTATGACAGTCTCTAGGTCCATCCACCTCACTACAAATAACTCAGTTTCGTTCCTTTTTATGCCTGAGTAATATTCCAGTGTATATATGTGCCACACCTTCTTTAGCCATTCATCTGTTGATGGACACTTAGGTTGCTTCCGTGTCCTGGCTATTGTAAATAGAGCTGCAATGAACATTGTGGTACAGACTCTTTTTGAATTACGGTTTTCTCAGGGTATATGTCCAGTAGTGGGATTGCTGGGTCGTATGGTAGTTCTTATTTTAGTTTTTTAAGGAACCTCCATACTGTTCTCCATAGTGGCTGTATCAAATTACATTCCCACCAACAGTGCAAGAGGGTTCCCTTTTCCCCACACCCTCTCCAGCATTTATTGTTTGTAGATTTGTTTTTTTTGTTTTGTTTTGTTTTGTTTTGCGGTACGTGGGCCTCTCACTGTTGTGGCCTCTCCCGTTGCGGAGCACAGGCTCCGGACGCGCAGGCTCAGCGGCCATGGCTCCCTGGCCCAGCCGCTTCATGGCCTGTGAGATCTTCCCGGACCGGGGCATGAACCCGTGTTCCCTGCATCGGCAGGCCGACTCTCAACCACTGCGCCACCAGGGAAGCCCTGTTTGTAGATTTTTTGATGATGGCCATTCTGACCGGTGTGAGATCATACAAGTATTTCTTGAGTATTTTCTACTCTGTGCCTCACACTGAACCAGGTACACGGGAAATAATGATCCTTTCCTTACGGAATTGCCAGTCTAGTGCAGTGGTTTTCAACCTTTCTTCCACCCCAATACACCTGAGGGATACAGAACATCATTAGTACCAAGGGCTCATCGTGTTCCAATTTTTAGGATACACTTATGGCAGACTGGGAGCGGTGAGGGGTGGATGGGGTTTTGTGGTGCAGGCTGATGAAGTACCCTGAATGATTCTGATGTAGTCCCCTTCTACACGAATGAGGACACAGATTCAGCTAAGTTAAAAGACACTCAGTCTACAGGGTAACAGTGCTGTGATGGGAAAGCACAGTTCTTTGAACAAGCTGGAGGTGCACCCACAGTGGAGCTGGGTGGAGCTCAAAGAGCTTTCTGGAGGAAGTGACACACAATGAGAACTGAAAGCGTTAGTAGGAGCTTTTAGTCAGAAGGAGGGGCTTGTGGATGAGATGACATGGAACGGCAGGCAGCATTCTCAGAATAGCCTCTGCTAAAGCTCAGAGAAACAACAAAAGAATTTGGCGCCATTAGGAAAACTGCAAGGGACTTCCCTGGTGGCGCAATGGTTAAGAACCCACCTGACAATGCAAGGGACATGGGTTCAATCCCTGGTCTGGGAAGATCCCACATGCCTTGGAGCAACTGAGCCTGCGTTCTAGAACCTGCGTGCCACAAATTCTGAAACCCACGCACCTAGAGCCCGTGCTCCACAACAAGAGAAGCCACCGCAGTGAGAAGCCCGTGCACCGCAACGAAGAGTAGCCCTTGTTCGCCGCAACTAGAGAAAGCCCGCGCGCAGCAATGAAGACCCAACGCAGCCAAAAATAAATAATTTAATAAATTTAAAAAAAAAAAAAGAAAAACTGCAAGAATTTAAGAATGTCTGAAGGGTGGAGTGTGAGCAAGGGGAGCAGCTAGAGACCTCGGTCTGGACTCACTCTTGAGTGGCTTTGTAAGCCGTGCCAGGCTGCATTCCAAGGACAATGGCATCCACTGAAGGGGGCTGACGGAGGGGATATGGCTGCATGGTGGAGGAGGTTTTTGGGGTTGGTAGACAGAATGCACTTAAGATCCTGACCCATGGTAGGAGTTGGCCATTAGTTGGATATATGGGTTAAGAGAAAGTGGAATTAGCCAGGCTTTGGCTTGAATAACTGAGTAGGGATGTGCAGAGATAGGGCTGACCTTTCATCCTAGGTGGCTGGGAGACAGGTAACAAGCAGTTCAGTTTGGAACATTTAAGTTTGAAGTGTTCAAGTGGGGATGTCCTGCATATAGATCTGGAGCTCAGCAAAGAGACCTGGGCAAGACAGAAAGACTTCAAATGGTAACAGGGGACATGACCTGGGTAGAACCATCCAGGAGAGTGTGTTGAGTAAGAAGAGACTGAGGCTAGGAGGGAACTTTGAGAAACACAAGCATGCAGAAAACTAGAGGGGGAAGAAGAGGCAGCAGAGGAAAATGTCAGGAGCAAGGCTAGGGGTAGATGGGTAGCAGGTTACTTCCATTTTACAGATGGGGAAATTGGGTCTCATATTCCATAGATGGTCTACTGCTTTCCAGCTGGCATGAGGCAGAAATGTTCTTCAACCTCCATCAGGTTCCTGGCTTTCAAATCACTTGTTTCTAGTACACAAAATTGTAATTGTATAAACAGGTATAACCTTCTCCTCCTTAACTCTTCCTCCTTTGAATTTGCCTTCCCAGTCACTAATCACAGACAATCTGCCAAAACCAGGTTCCCTTCAGTGGCTCTCTCTCCTGCCTAGGTGATAATGATGGCGGAATAATGCAACCAAAGGGAAAAGCAAAGAGAGGACTCACCGGACCTTGAATTAGGCCCCTCTCCTAATTTACATGGTAACTCACTCAGTTCTTTAGATCTGACGTTATCCAATGGCCTGAGCTAGGAATGAAGTGCTGTGTAAAGTTTAATCATTAAACGACTTTATAAGACTGTTGCAAACATGGAGCAATGAGAAAATTGGCTTAAATAATTTGGGTGTCCAGGAGCAGTCTCTCTTACTTGAGGGGATTAAACATGCCACCTGACACCCACCATGTTTACCCAGGACTAGGTTTATTGTAGTTGACAGGTAGCAGGGACGAACGAAGGCTCTTGCCTTCTCGGTGTGATGCGAGGTGAGCCTGGAAGGTCCCCTGATCAAAGCCAGCTCCCGGCCCCCAGACAGTGCAGGCTTCGGAGTCAGATTGCCTGGTTCCCATTCACGGTCGGGAACACACTGATCCTCAGAATCTGTTTCCTTATCTGCAAAATGGGGATAATAGCACTCACCTCACCCAGCTATTGCGAGAATTAAATGAGATAGTCTGCCAAAGCACTCAGCACACAGCACAGATAACCATGAGCTGCTGTCACCATCTTTTTTTGTGCTAAGCTTTGCTTAACGGTGGAGTGGGCCCGGACCCTAGGAGAACTGGTAGTAACCCTACCAGGGTTACTAAGGGTAGTAACTGCCCTTACCTTGTAATGACCCTGAGCCAGGAATGAGGGAGCAGGTGAGACTGCTCAACGTTTTCCAAGACAATGTACTAATTCACGATATTCTCCTCAAGAGATTTCTAAGAAGCAGTGGCAAGGCCTCAGGAGCTGGGTCCCTGGCAGAGAACAAGTTTCTTGTGACCATGCCCCTCAATACTGAGAAAAGATCCCTGATAAGGTGTGGAGAAGCCGTCCTGCTCTACACACGGCTGGGATTCCTCCCCCTTGGCCACCTGCTTTCCTAAGGGCAGCAGCTGACATTTGGTGCGCTTCGCCACCCCCCTCCCTCCTGGAATTTAGGACATCCAGCTAAGCGCGGGGCTAGCTTTAAAAGGAATTAGTCGTGGTTCCCAAAGAGCCCGCCGGGGACGGCATGTGGTGGCCCAGGGCTGGGGTTCCGGGCACCCGGGCCCGGGGTCCCCTGGGCGCCGCCAGCGCCCGCCCTACGCGTGAAAGCCCGCAGTGCCGCGCCGGGACAGCACCGAGGGCCCGAGCCCGCGGAACCTCTCCGATGAAAAACGAAGAGCCAGCCTGCAGATGCAACCGTTGCAATTTGGGTCTCTTTCTCTCCTCTGACGTAATGCCAGTTTCCTGCTTTCGCACTGCAGTGTGCAGCTCGCTGGCCTGGAAGTCTGAAGATCAATGGACTGAACGCCAAGATAATCACGGCCACTATCTTGCAGTTTATTTTCCACGAATACACCCCGCCCCCAAATTCCACGACTCTTGGCTTTTCAGGCGGTATTGTTCTCCCTTCCCCCCAGGAAGGCCGCCTCTACACATAGCCCAGCACCAGGAAACGGCGTCGGTTTGTGGCTCAAATGTGGGGCCGGGGCGGGGTCGTTCAAACCTTCTGTCTCCCTCCCCATCCCCACCCGCCCTACAGCTTTGAGATTCCATATCCCAGGCTTTGTTTTAAGCAAAACTATTGTCGGAGCTGCAGCATCTCCTCCCCCTCTCCAGAAGCCGAGCTGGGAAGTGGGTAAAAACTACTGAGGAACGTGCTCGGACGCTCCTCCACGCCTAACACCCCCACAGGGAAGAGACCAGCAGCGACAACCCCGCCATCGCACTCGCGCAGGGGCAACCGCAGCGCCGCCGCCGCCGAATCCGAAGCCGCAGCGGCCGCCGCCGCCCAGTTGAGCCCAGGGAGACTCCCAAGGGCTCTTTAAATACGATCTATAAATACTACGGGCTCTCGGCGCGCGCGTCACGGCAAGCCGGCCTCCGATTGGCTGTCGTAACCCCGCTATTTGCATAGCCGGATTGCTCAACCGGGCGGCGACAGCGGCCTAGCGCGCCCCTCCCCCTCAGCGGGCGCGCAGCGCGGGGCGCGCGGGCCGGCGGGCGGGGACAGTGGGGTGGCGGCCGCGCGGGCCGGGCGACGAGTGCGAAGCGGCGGCGGCGGCGGCGGCGGCGGCGGCGGCGGCGTCGAGTGGCTTGAACTCGGGAGCCTTTCCAGCCTTGAGTCATGCAGCCGGTCTTCCGGGACGCCGGCTGCCTCCCAGAGGATCAATTTTGGCAAGCCGAGGGCCGGCGCTTTTTAGACTGGGTCTTTTTGCTTTCCACAGAAAGAAAAAGAAAGTTTGCAGGGTTTCACCGGAGCAAACGCTCTGGGTGGCTTGCGAAGGCACCACGTGACACCTGGACACGCAGCTAGAGGCCTGTCCAATGACTTGCGACTTGCGGTGTTCAAAAAAGGCTTTTGCACGATCACAAGTAAGACCTCGTTAGCTTGAAAACGAAACAAGGCGTGTTCGGAAAATGCAAGATGTTTAAAGCTAAGTCTTTTAAAAAAAGCACCAATTAGCCAATATGAAGCGGCGATGCGGAAAGTTTCCCCCCTGTGGTTCTATAGGGGAAGAGAATCTCTTGTAGTGACTGGAAATGTTCAGCAACTTGGCCCTGACCTGAGCTGGTTGGCTCTGGGAAGGCGGGTGGTGGCAGAGAGGGTCAGAGAGGGAGAAAAAGACCACGCTTTGAAATTCGGGAAGCAACCCGATGTTGCGGAGTATATTGGCACCCAGGATTTTGTGGAGAGGATGCCATTGATCGCGGGTGGTAAATGTGCAGATATGGTTTTATATTAGTATTCAGATGTTACAAAATCATTTATCTGTACAGAAGGTAAACTGAGAATAGGAACTGTATCTGCCGTTTGTTGCAAACATTTTAGGTAAAATCTGTGACATAGTGAATTCCTTACTTTTGAATGCGAGAAATACGATGACTTCCAGTTTCTTCATTTTGATTTAAAATGTCCTCCCCTTAAAGCGCACACAACACATGCTAAGGTTACAAGCATTCCCGTAACAATATCCGGGGATGACGCTGAAAGTATATGTTGGTGTCTTACCTCAGAAAGTCGGTCCTCAGAAAATAGTGGCGTGAATCACACAAATACATCATTTAGAAGAGATTTTTTTTTTTGCTAAAAAATCTAAGGTCTCATTCAGTTATGTTTCATAAATGTTCTACTTCGATGTCCTTCTCCCTTAAATAAAACTCAAAGCTCATACGGACTCGTTTTTTGACACTTTTAACTACTGTTATTTGGACGCTAGCGAGTATGCGGCTCTAAAAGCTTTTAAAAAAGAACTTCGGATTTTGACAGAAGAGCGCCCTCTGCTGCCGAATAGTTTATGGGCAACGCTCCTGAAAAGTGAAACACTTGGGGGTATGCCCATCGCAAAGCTGGCAAGGTGAACTTTAAGGTATTTTTCACTAATATCTTTTTTGTAAGTCACTTTGTAATTCTAGCCATTTTAATCATTACTTCTAAGCTTGCAGAACCATTCAGTTGTGAATACTACCTTAAATACCATTCTCATTTCCATAGTAATTCATACCAGTTTATGCTTTAAAACCAATACTAAAACAGAGGATAGACCTGTTTTACAGTCGTTATTCTCTGCGTTAACAGATACCAAAGTAAGAAAAAACGCTTTAATCATCGAAATACTTTTTCCAATAATTTTAGCTCTGTGTCATATGAATCATTAAAATGGGCTGATTTGAACACAGACTACTTGCGATCATCTTACATCAGCGTTTTGCTTCTCTGCTTGTTTCCCTCTGTCTTAATTAGTGTTTCTGATGTCCCAGGCCAAGTATAAATGCACCTATAATCGCTGACTTTTTGGTTATCGTCTCTTCACCATAAAGACTGTCATTTTATTATAGTATGAATTTATTATACTTTCACAGTATTTTCCTTTTTCCTTAAGTTTTTTTCTAATGTTACATTTCTTTTACTAATTCATTCCTTTGTTGTCTGTATTAATATGCTCAGATGAAAACAGATTTTAAAAAGTCCCAAGTAACTGTGTAAATTGAAAACTGCACATCTTGACTGCTATTTCCATTGGTTTTCATTTTTTAGAGCTGCTCATCTTGAGGAGGAAAGAGCTACATTCAGAGGTTAGCTGCTGGTACAGCTTTGAGTCACTAGGAGGTAAGAGGATAACTGGTAAACCACAAATGAAGAGATAAGGGAGGTGTATATCTCCTGCTGTAAATGCTAATATGGGCATTTCAGCTGCATTCCTCACAATAAGCATTTTACCACTCTTTATAGAAACATACAGATAATGATCATGAATTAGTCTGTGGTTCTCAATTCTCTCTCAGTAGCAGAGGCAGAAACGGAAATAGAGACCATTATTATGCTGAGAAATGTACTTAGAAAAAGTAGTCTCCAGGGCTAGAGAGAGACTCTGTCCTTGTATAAGCCGGGGGTGAGCAGCCCAGTACTCTCACAGAAGTCAAGTGTTCCAGATGCTCTGTGAATTGGGCTCCCTTTTCCCAGTTAATGGTGCAGGAACAGCATCTTTTTCACATGGATGCTCATATGATCACCACATCTCAAGCCATTTCTAAAGGTGGAAAATAAATGTTGGAAGTTGCTGCCATGGGAATACGCCTGGCAATTGGTTGTCTATTTCCCCCCATTTATTTAGTGGTAATTACAAATTGTTCTATCCACATTCTACTGTGCACGCATAGTTGATAAACATGTCAAGCTAGGGGGCAGACTGGATACATGACAAAAGGCTTATGAATTGGCCCAACTGCATTGCAGTTAGGTCAACACACCCCTGAGATCCTGGGGTGATTAATAAATTAATTAATTTGCAGTGGACTGCAATGCTGGCTTCTCAGTCCATTGACCAAGGGGTAGTCTCTAAACTGTGTTACCAATGTCCTTGCTTGACAGGGAGATTATATGACCCATAGCATGTGAATATGGGAGTATGTATATTCACTATTGGCAAAAGTGGTTTTCTTTCTGTATTAAAGTAGGACTCGAGTTTTGTATACACTGTCTATTGAGGAGCTCATAAATTCTGCTTGTAATCCAAAAATACTTTTGTTTTGGTAAAAATGGTTTTATAACAAAAATCCAGTTGACTTTCATCTTTTTAAATTACTCCTTCACAGTTACACTTCCTCATTTAAATACACCCCCCCTTTATGTAATTTTGCCCTATACATCAGATGGCCTAAAGAATATTATTAGTAGAATTACGATTTAATGAGAATTTAGTATATATCAGGGACCAACCAAGGTCTCTTGTAACCCTTATTTTATAAGGGCAGTCCTATTGCTATTTGCATTTTACGAAGAAGGTAACTGACCCTTAGAGAGGGTACATAACTGGCTCAAAGTTAGTGTCAGAGCTGGGGTTCAAATCCAAGTCCATCTGACTCCAGGTCAAACCCTCAGAGAATATTGCAAACATATAAAATTGAAAATGAAAGCCATAGGCTTAATACTAATCACTTTCTATGGTATCCTAGAGCAATACTTCCCAAATTATATATCAGAAAATGTTAGTTCCACATGATCTGTGTGAATGGCATGAAGAAAAAGAAAAGTTCCATGATCAAATGTTTTGGAAATAATGGGTTAAACCAATATTTTTAAACTGTAGAACTGTGCAACGTTAGTGGGAGCCATTCATGCTTGTAGTCATTGTGGATTTGTATAGTTATTACAGCCTTTTTCCAGGCGATGGCAAAAACATGTCTTTCTGTTTTGCACAATGGTGCCATTTGAACTGTCATTGGTGCTAGAGGTGGGAATAATATGAAACGCCTAACAACTGCATACTGTTCCCTTTTGTGCATTGCTAACATCATCACTTTCTGGTGTTTGTTGAACTGACAGATTATTTGTATCAGATGGATTTAAAAAAACAGCTAATTATTTTTAGGGTTCTAATTGCCTTACACTATTACTTGTTACACCTAAAAGATATGTTTGGAAAGTTCAAAGATTTTCTTGCTAGTTAGAGACTTCCCAAACGTAGTATAAGGACATTGGAATAACAAAATGTAAAACTATTTTTATTATTTATTTTGGCAGCGCTGGGTCTTAGTTGCATCATGTGGACTCTCTTAGTTGTAGCATGCAGGCTTCTTAGTTGCAGCATGCACGTGGGGTCTAGTTCCCCGACCAGGGATCAAACTCAGGGCCCCTGCATTGGGAGCACAGAGTCTTACCCACTGGACCACCAGGGAAGTCCCTAAAATTATTTTTTAAGTAGGCTAAGAATAAGTAGTTGGTTCAAGTAAAAATACTTGAAATATGTGTGCATGCACTAATACGTATGCATGATACACATTCGTTTAAACTTGTTGAGAGGAGAGGCTATTTTTGTTTCTTTATCCTTGCCAAACACCTGGCCCACAGAAGGCATTTATGCATTTAGTTAGTGCTTATTGAGTGCTTTCTTTTACCCAGGCATGGTTCTGTTCCAGACGCTAGAGATAAGGGTGAAAAAGTCCTCATGGAGCTTACATTTTATTGGGGAGAAATAGACAATAAATGGAAAGAGGGATGTGAAGCCAAAAAAGTGAATAATGGATATTGAAACACTTGTAGGGTTATTAGATCAGAATTCTCAGTGAGGCAAAAGCACTTTTGAAATGGGTACCAGAGGAAATGCACTGGGAGGAGAGGAAAGGTTTGAGATCACTTTTTAGGAGGTGATGTAATGATTGGTAATAATAAGGAGAAGTTATGACTTTAGAGTTGAGGGGATTAAATGGAAGAAAATAAAAGGACTATTGGAGAGAAAAAGATCAAGATGCTGAGGGACCTGATGTTGAATGGGGCAGCGCGTGAGTGATGCAGTCGTTGGAGATGGAGACAGAGACAGAGCGAAGAGGAAGACAGTGAGCTCTGTGCTGCTTCTCATTGAAGCAACTGAAGGGATCGTAGGTGATGGCGTGAGGAGGGGCAAGTGCTGGTTAAGCTGGCTGGAAACTTCATAAAGGATGGAGTTTCTGAGACAGAGGAGGAGAAATGGTTTGCAAATGGCAGTTTATATAAATATAAAAAAGTAAAAGGAGGTGAGAGGACCGTGGGGAGGTGTGTTCCCAGGAGCAGCCAGAGGTCAATTAGGCCAAGACTGTGATGGAAACATCATTTTGATGAATGAATAAATATTGAATTTTCTTTTCTTAAAAATTTTATTTATTTTATTTTTGGTTGCATTGGCTCTTTGTTGCTGCACGCGGGCTTTCTCTAGTTGCGGCGAGCGGGGGCTATTCTTTGCTGCGGTGCGCAGGCTTCTCATTGTGGTGGCTTCTCTTGTTGCGGAGCGCGGGCTCTAGGCACGCGAGCTTCAGTAGTTGTGGCATGCGGGCTCAGTAGTTCGCGGGCTCTAGAGTGCAGGCTCAGTAGTTGTGGCGCGCTGGCTTAGTTGCTCCACGGCATGTGGGATCTTCCCGGACCAGGGCTCAAACCTGTGTCCCCTGCATTGGCAGGCAGATTCTTAACCACTGCGCCACCAGGGAAGTCCCTTGAATTTTCATATAGATATAATTATTTTGAATAATTTTTAACTTAACCTTTTAATTTAATATTAAAGTAATGCATTCCAATTCCCTTTGTTCATGCTGTAATTTGTGTTTCAATACACTCATAAGGATCAAAGTTGGAAGTAGAAGAGAGACTTCTTAGTTTAAAAGTATGTGTTGAGAGGGCAACTATCTATTTTTTACTGTATACATGTCAGTATTTTTGAATTTATTACAAGTAAGTACTCCTTTTATAATAAAGGGGAAAACGAATTATTTTTCTTTACCATAAATATCTGAAAATAAGGCCATCAAAAATTAAAATGGATATCCTGAACAATTTTCCTTTTATTCTGGAGTAGGAGAGTTTCAGAAAAGGAAAATAGTCAATACGTTTTTTAAGATTGTTCTGCCGTCTCCATCTCCCTACCCAAACATGAGCTGGGGTTGGATTTTCTCCAAATACTTGAGCAGCTTCCCCTATCCCTTTGCAGAACAAGATGCTCTAACAACTTCCCATATTATATCCAGGTTCTCTTTGATATTTACCCATATTAAGGAAGGGTATATAGGAGTTCTGAGGAGAAAAAAGACTTCCCTCTGTTTCCCATTTTCTAAATAATTGACTCACTTGTGTATTGTGCTAGTTAGCTCTACCAAGTCTTTTTTGTTTTGTTTTGTTTTGTTTTTCCCAGCTTTATTGAGATACAGGTTTCCTCCACTATCCGAAAGTAGAGCTTTCCTATGAAACATTCGTAAGCCAAAATGGTGTAAAACGAGGAAGCAGTTACCTTAGGACACATCTTGCTGATGGATGCATAAAATAAATTGAGGCAAAGCACAGATGCTCACAGACACAGCACAAAGCTATGGTGGCTTGATGCTGAGACGCTGAGTGTAGTTCCAGGGAAGGAGATTGGCAGGGCCCCTCTCACTGCCCTGGGTGCCCTGGGCCTCTACGATGGCTCACTGAAAAACACCGATCGCTATTTTTGCTTTTCTCCTTTTTTCATAAAAGTGAAAATCCTCTTTGGATTTCTTTCAGTTGGCAAAAACGGGTACTAATGTAGGTCTTTTGTAAAAACTAAGTGGCTTAAAGTAAACTTTCAGAAAACAGGGATTCCTGCATAATTGACAAATAACATTGTATAAGCTTAAGGTGTACAATGTGATGATTTGATATATGTATACGTTGTGAAATTATTACATTAAGGTTAATTAACAGATCCATCACCTTGCATAGTTATTGTGTGTGTGTGTGTGTGTGTGTGTGTGTGTGTGTGTGTGTGTTGAGAACATTTAAGGTCTATTTACTCTCTTATCAACTTAAAAAAATTATTATTATTATTTTTAAAATATATTTTTAAATTAATTTTATTTATTTATTTTTGGCTGCATTGGGTCTTCATTGCTGCGCATGGGCTTTCTCTAGTTGCAGCGAGCAGGGGCCACTCTTCATTGTGGTACACGGACTTCTCATTGTGATGGCTTCTCTTGTTGAGCAGCATGGGCTCTAGGTGCGCGGGCTTCCGTAGTTGTAGCATGTGAGCTCAGTAGTTGTGACTCATGGGCTCTAGAACTCAGGCTCAGTAGTTGTGGCTTGTGGGCTTACTTGCTCCGCGGCATGTGGGATCTTCCCGGACCAGG